CTCTGTTAATGGGGCCTCTTAGGTTGACCATAGCAGGACTTCTGTTAGGACTGTTCATCTTAGACACCCTGTCCAGGGTCATCAGAACTAGAGTAAAAAGAGTCAAGCTGCAGGTGACACAGCAGGTGGTATCAGCCGACTTCTTAGACAGATTCATAGGGTGCTATGAGGGTAAAGAGGAGGGAATGAAGTAGAATGAGGTAGTAAAGACCATTATTAGATGTTGATCTAGTGGCTTATTTTCTCAGTTACTTAAAGCTCTACTTGTATGGCCTATTTGTCAAAGGATAACTTCAAGTGGAACAAAATGATCCTAAAACGTAACTGAAAAAGAAAAAGGCCATTGCCCTTAATGACCTGCTGACTACTTCTGTATTTTACATAGCTTCTGTAAAATCTTGCTTGCTTGACTGCCCAAGCTTGTCATTTTAGAGTATAAAGTGGACATACAAACTGGACTTGGGACCACAACCTTTCAGGAGTTTTCTGTGCTTCAGTCCACCAGTGACACTCCTCTGTTCCACTCTCATTGTTGTTGGAGTACTTACTTATTCCAGAAAGATCACTGCAACACTGCTTGAAAACTCTGAAAGGTTTGTCACATTTAATTATGTCACTCTGCAAATCCCACCCATCTTAATTCTCACACCTGTATAAGTTCTGTTCTTCTGGTAACTCTAGAGAACTGTGCATTGCTCTGCTTTGACAGGTGGGCTCTTAGCAGCCTCCTCGGGAGCATAGACGGGCCACTTCCATTCAACACTTGAGTGAGCCAGGCCACTTGGGCAGCCTCACTGAAGCCCACAACTGTGTCAAGATGACTGACAATATCTTCTTGTTTGAGGGGATCCAGATGGTGTCTGACTTCCTTAGTGTGGAGTCTCTGTCTTTTGCTTAGAACTTTTTGGTGAAAGATGATGATGTTATCATAGCGAGCTACCCTAGATCAGGTAAGAAAAGTGTGTGTGTGTGTGTGTGTGTGTGTGTGTGTGTGTGTCTGTGTGTGTGTGTGTAACTTGGGGGGGTTAACTTATGTCTCAGTTACTGTTCTATTGCTGTGAATAGACACCATGGCTAAGGCAACAATAAAGGAAGATATTTATTTGGGGGCTTACTTACAGTTTCAGAGCGTTAGTACATAATCATCATGGTAGGGGGCATGGTGGCGGACCAGCAGACATGGTACTGTAGCAGTAGCTGAGAGCTCACATCTGATTTACAAATTTGAGAGAGAGAGAGAGAGACTGGCCTTGGGTGGGCTTTTGAAATCTCAAAGCCCAGCCTCAGGGACACTTCCTCCAACAAGGCTCACATCTCCTCCAACAAGAGCACGCTTCCTAATTCTTCCCAAACAGCTCCTGTAGCAGGAATCTTAAAAGTTCTTATTAATAAAATCAAAC